GGGGAAGCAAGTTCTCTCGTGTTTCTTCTTACAGGGGCGCAAATCCCAACCTGAGGGCCTGGCCCTCATGATCTAATCACCCTCCAAAGGCCCCAACTCCAAATATCATCAAATTGGGGGTTAGGATTTCAACATATAAAATTTGGTGGTGGGGGGGGGCAAAAACATTCAGTTCATATGGAAACTGCATTAACCACAGTATGGTACGAAGTGTTTCTTGTCCCTGAAGGCCTGCATCATAATAAAACCACTTCTGTGAAATGGCAGGGCAAGGCATCTTGGAGGCACTGGATAGAAACTTTGGGGATATTAACAAACAGAAACCATGACAGTTAAAAAAGCTCTTTGCACTAGTCCTTTGGGTCTGTCCCCCTCATCCTTCATCCCTGATGATGACTTTTTGTTAACTGACCTTCTGCTTCAACTCTGTTTTTATTTTAAGGTAAAGAGTTCTTCTTTGTGGTCATCCTAATCGCATACGGTAACTTACTGGTGATCAGTGGTGGCCAGCATTTGAAAGATGAGTGGTCATATTTGAGTGTTGAGGTTGGAGACACCACCCAGCAACCACTTTTTAAAACAAGGTGTCTTCCATCCCAAAAAATCAGAAGGAAAGCTTTCTAGCTGTTTGCATTAAAACTATATAACCTTTAATATAACGATTTCCCAGCTTACACTAGGTTTCTGGAAAGCCCTAATATCAACCAAAAGATTAATCACCTTACCTCTAAGTTCTCTGAATTGTTGAACAATTCATGTTCTTTCTTTCTGGTTTTCCAGATTCTTTCCTCAAATTCATGCTAACCTGACCTGCGTGTGGTCCCCTTGGTAGCTCAAGAGTCAGACACTCTTTTTTCTACTTAGAGGGGACCCCGTGTGGAAGCTCTTCTTAGCCACTCATTTCTTTACCGTGTCACAAAGCAATGGCCTGGGGGTTGGGAGCCGTGGGTTCCAGTCTTTGCTCTGACATTCACTGTCTGATGATTTTGGACAAGTTACATATCCTTTCTGGGCTTCTGTGTCTTTACTGGCACAAAAGATACCTCCCCAAAGCCCTCAAGTCCTAACTTTCTGTTCTGTCCTGTACTGATTCTTGCCGTGCTCTTCTCCTTGTGGGATCTTTTTCTTCTTTGCCTTTTGTTCTTTTCTGAGGCCGTGTAAAACAATTTTCTGGGCTCCCAACCTCTCCTTCATGCAGGCTCTTCTCCCTTCCAGAAAGCTCATTCTTTTCTCCCTAATAATTGCTGCTTCCAGGAAAGCAGTTCGGAGTCTGGAATGCTGTGGACCGCAATGGTTAAGAGACCAAGGTGGGAATGGATCAGACACGTGTGTGCAAACCCTGCCTCTGATGCTCGCTGGCTGAATTTCCACATCTGTGAGCTGGAGGTGAAGTCAATCTCACCTGGGCTTTTGTCAGGGTTAAATAGGATGAGGTCACTCTAGCCCGGGCAACAAAGTGAGACTCTGTCTCAAAAAAAAAAAAAAAAAAAAATAGGATGAGGTGGGCAAAGTGCTTTACACAGAGTAACCTTTCCAAGGTTATTCGCTGTTCTTATTGAGTATTTAAACAGTGCTTCCTTTCATATACAGTGCCTTTTCTTTTTTGAGATTGTATTAGTCAGGGTTCTTCAGAGAAACAGAACCAATAGGGTGTGTATGTGAGCGTGTGTCTCTTTATATATACACATATACATATATGTAGAGAGAGCGCATACATGCAAGAGATAGAGATATTTATTTTAAGGACTTGGCTCACATGATGATGGAGGCTGGCATGTCCAAAATCTGCAGGGTAGGTTAGCAGGCTGAAGACCCAGGGAAGAGCCAATGCTAAGTTCAAATTCAAAGGCCGTCTACTGGCAGAATTCCCTCTTCCTCCAGGAAGGTCAATCTTGTTTCATTAAAGCTTTCAGCTGATTAGGTGAGGCCTACCTACATTATGGAGGAAAATATGCTTTACTCAAAGTCTATTAATTTCAGTGTTAATCTCATCTAAAAATATACCTCCATGGAGACATATAGAATAGTGTTTGACCAAATATCTGGGTACCAGGGGTTAGCCCAGTTGACACATAAAATGAACCATCATAGAGAATGAAAATATATTATATTTACCCCTGTTTTTCTCTTTCTGTTGTTCTTTGTTTCTTCCCAGTGTCCCAAGATTCCTTCTTTTGTCACTTGCTTTCTGTTTGGAGAACTTCCTTTAGCTATTCTTTTAGGGTAGGTTTGCTGGCTACAATTTCTCTTAGTTTTTCTTTTTTCAAGAATGATTTCCCCTTCATTGCTGAAGGATAGTTTCGCTGGATATAGGATTTGCAGGTGACAGTCCTTTTCTTTTAGCAATTAAAAAATGTTGTACCACTTCCTTCTGGCCTCTATGGTTTCTGATGAGAAATCCAATGTTATTTGGATTGCCTTTCCCCAATAAATAAGGTATTATTTCTCTCTCTGCTTTCAAGATATTTTTCTTTGTCTTTAGTTTTCAAAGTTTGGTTACATGTTTCTTGGCATGGATTTCTTTGGCTTTATCCTTTTTGAGGTTCACTCAGCCTCTTGAATCTATAAGTTTATAACTTTTCACAAATTTGGAAAACTTATTTCTTTGAATACTGTTTCAGCCCTGCACTTTTCTCTCCTGATACCCCAATAACATGAATGTTAGATTTTTTTTTTTGTAGTCCAATGGGTCCCTGAGATTCTGTTCCCTTTTTCAGTGTATTTTTTTCTCTGTTGCTCAGACTGGGTTACTTGTCTACAAGTTCACAGATTCTTTTCTTCATCCCCTTCATTCTGCTATTAATCCCATCCATTGCACTTTTTACTTTGGTTATTATATTTTTCAGTTCTAAAATGTTCATTTGATTCTTCTTTCCATCTTCTATTTCTTTGCTGAAACTTTCTATATTTTCCATTTGTTTTTCATGTGTTCTTAATGGCTTGTTGAAGCATTTTTATGCTTTAAAATCATGTCAGATAATGCTAACATCTGTGTTATCTCAATGTTGGCATCTGTTGATTATCTTTTCTCATTCAGATCGAGATCTTCCTGATTCTTTGTATGATGAGTGATTTTTGAGTGACTCCTAGACATTTTTGGTTTTATGTTATGAGACTTTGGATCTTATTTCAATCTTCTGTTTCTTTTGGTCCATACTGACATTGCTTTGAGGAGTGGGGGCTAACTTGGGCCTCCAGGTGGGGTGGAGGCCCAGGTTCTCCACTTGTCGGATACTGCTACCTCATTACTGCAGGGTGGGGGTGGGAATTCTGGCTCCCTCTGAGGCCTCTGCTGACACCACTGTGGCTGGGAGGGGCAGGAGTACCTCTTTACTGCTCTCCACAGGCCTCCAGTGACACTTGGGGAAGGAGGCCTCATGACCACTGGGTAGCGGTGAAAGTCCTAGTTCTCCACAAGGCCCCCTCTGTTATCGTTCCAGGAGGAGGGAGAAGAGAAGTTGGGGGGTGGTGGCAGCTGGGGTGAAAGCCTCGGCTCCCTACTTGATCTTCTCTGATGGCAGCCTGGCAGGGGTGTGGGGGCTCCTTGCTACAGAGCCTCACTAGAGTGGAGATCTCAGCTCTCCCTCAGGCTTTAGTAAAAGGAGTGGGGGCGGGGCCATAGTTTTTTTCTGAGATGCTTGCTTGGAGTAGAGCAGTTATTATCTAAAAGTTTTCTGTCTTGCTAGGCTTCCCCTTTTCTGGTCCTTTGGTTAGAGAGAGCAAGCTTTTGTTGGGACTTTTTATGTCTGCACCGGTTGGCATTTCTGAATGGCCAGCTTCTCCAGTGAGAAGTCTGGGGTACAGGAAGCAAAAAAGAAAGCCTGGAAAATCATCGCTGTGAGGCCCCCTGCCTGATCTTCTCTTCATGTGTTCGAGTCTTCTTATGTTTATTTTATGTATTATGTTCGGGTTTTTAAATTGTGCCTAATTGTGGGAATGGGAAAAGTAGTACTTCTCCTCCACCTTCCCAGAAGCCTATTCTATATTGCATTTTAATCTAATCGGTATTTATATTTAGAGTGGCAGGAGAGGCTTCGCCTCCTGTTAAAGGAATCTCAAGCATTACTTGAAGCAGGTGGGAAAAAACCGTGGCGAGGGCTGGGCCAGGGGTGGTGGGAAGGACGGGAGCGAGTCTGCTCTTCCTACCTCGGAAGCCACTGCTCACCCTCTTTTTCACGCCACTTCCACTCCTTTAGCACCTGAATTCAAGCCCTGTCTTTTATTCTCCGCCACACAGAGGAAGCCCTGTCTTTCCCTGCGTTCCCACCACCCATTGTAGATTAGCAGCTACAAGCACCTTCCTTGACCCAGGCCCCAACATACAGTAGAAGGAAAACAAGGCCCATTCATCACGGCCGCGGCCATTCTTCCTCCGGACGGGTTGGCGGTGAATTCTGGGAGAGGGAGGGCTCCTGCGGCTTAACTTGCTGAAAAGGGGGTGGCAAAGCCCGTGTATGGAGCCTGTCAGCCCGGACATTCTGGAATAAGATTGAGTCCTGCTCGAGCGGACAAAGGGAACAATGCCGGCCCAGACAACCAAGTGTTCTCCCGTGCCCCCCTCCTGGCCCAGACCACTTCACATGGAACCTTTAAAAGGTCTATGGCTCTTGAGAGAAATGGCACAATTAAGGAGAGGCTGGAAGCCCACCAGGCAGAGAGCATCCTTTGTGCTGAAAATGCAAATTGTTTTCAATTTAATGGACAATCTCCCCTTGAGAAGGCTGATGAAGCGAATTGAGACAAAGGTGCTTAATTCTTTAGCCATCCTTTTGACGGATTCCAAGACTCAAAAATGGGGGCTGGAGGTGGGGGTGGGAGATTTTCCATGGCGAGACAGAGGGAGGAGACTTGGGGATGTCATTGGCAGGGGTCAGTCTTGAAATAGCACAGTCCTTGGTTGATGTTTTTAAAAAATTAAAAAAAAATTTTTTTGATAGACTTTATTTTGTAGAGCAGTTCTAGCTTCACAGCAACATTGAGCAGAGGGTCCAGAGATTTCCCAGGTACCTCCTGCCCCCTCACAGGCACGGCCTCCCGGTTATGCGCTTCCCCCACCAGAGTGCTGCGTTTGTCATAGTGATCGATGAACCTGACACATCGTTATCACCCAGAGTCCACAGTTTACATTCAGATTCACTGTTGGTTCAGTTTTTTGTGGTGGTTGTTTTTCAGAGGAGAGCGTGACAAGCACAGCCGAAGGTGTTTCTTTCAGGGAACCTGCTGCCTCCTTCTCCTTTGCTCAGTCTGGCCAGAGCAGAGCATCATGTAGGGTCAATAAATATTGACATGAAAGTCTTTGAGAGGTTTTCTGAGCCTTAACTTCCTTTAAATCATAGCTATGTTCCAGCCAAACTGTCATGAATAAACTTTTTTTATGTCACGTTTGACTATTTTAGGAAATCAACTATTAGTATTTAAAGGGAACAACAGATGCATGATTGCCTCTCTTTTATAAAGTGACACCTCACTGTACAGATTCCAGATCAGGGGTGGAACTTGTGACAATATCTTGGTGGTGTCAGTACCTTCAGCTGTCCAGAGTCATGGTCGAAGATCACCTGTTTGAGTGAATATAATTCACTTTTAAAAACTTCAGCATAGATCGTGTTGAAACCATCTATATTAAAATAACATAGAGCCATAAGGTGTAAATAGTAATCAAAGTCTGATTTTTATAAAAGTATAGATATAGCCAGAAGTTAATCGGGAATTTTTCCCTAACTTCCTTACTGCTATAACTGGTGACTGCTTCATGGCACTATCCTCCCTGATAGGTGCAAGATTCGTGACTCCCCCACTACTTCTATAGATGACATTGCCATTGTAAAGCCCAACACTTGTGCCTCTCTAGATGACCTTACTATTATAAAGCCTAAGACTGGTCTTTGAAGTATTTTTCGGATTCTGCATTCCGAGGGGACACACTGATGCCAACCGGACTCGTGGACAGGCAAGAGAACGAATCCACAGCCTTGAGACCCCCTACCCAGGAAATCTCCCAACCAAGAAGATAACCTCTGCTTCCCAGCCCTATGAGTTCATCCCCAGCCAATCAGCAGACCCAATTCCCTAGCCCCTTGCCTGCCAAACTATCTTTAAAAACCCTTTCTCCCAAATTCTTGAGAAGATGGATTTGAGAAATTCCTCCATCTCCTTGGATGGTAGCTGCGATATTAAACCCTTCCTCTGCCGTAACCCTGCTGTCTCAGTGTATTGGCCTCCTCTTGAGCAGCAGGCAATGAACCTGGTTGGGCTGTAACAGTGTGATATGCACGTGGGTCAATTAGTTTTTTAATTTTAAACAGCTTTTTGAGATATAATTTATATCTCAAAAAAATTCACCTGTTTTAAATTGTTTACCATCACCACCACCCAGTTTTAGAACATTTCCATCACCCGAATAAGGTCCCTCACACCTGGTTATGATTAATCCCCCACCCCCATCTGTAGCCCTAGGCTGCCACTAATCTTTTCAGGACATTTCATATAAATGCCACCATACAACATGTGGTCCTTTGTGACTGGCTTCTTCCACTTAGCAGGTTTTTTAGGCTTATTCATGTTATAGCATGTGTCAGTAGTTCTTTAATTTTTATTTCAGAATAATATCCTATTATATGGATATACTACATTTAGTTTATTCATTTACCAGTTGATGAATGTTTGGGTTGTTTCCATTTTTGGCTATTACGAATAATGCTGTTATGACTGTTGATACATGAGTTTCTGTGTGGACATATGTTTCCATTTCTCTTGAGTGGGTTACCTAGGAGTGGAGTCACTGGGTTGTATGGTAAATTTGTTTAAGGTTGGCTAGTCGTAGTCCACATTTCTGCAGCAGTTGGATAACAGTTGAAGTACCCTCATCCGGTACTGCTCAGTGGTGGCGTGTATTGGTTTCTCCTACCTGCCCCTCTGGATCCGTTCCCTGTGCCCCAGGAAGCTGATGTACACTATTGGGCTTCCTTGGCCTCTGATTTCAGCTGGGTGGGCCAGTGGGGAACACTGGCAACAGGTAGGAGGGAGAGAGGAGAGTGAGTTCGGGTTAACTCCCTGCAGATCGTAGAAGACTGGCTGTGTCCTCTGCTGAAGGTCGCAGCTCCTGTTGGATGGGCTTCTCCACATGGCTCTTTCTCCACATTCTAGTAACTGTTCATCCCCCCAGCCTTTCGGATCCCCTGGGTAACAGCAGTTCTGCTCTTATGAGCCCCAGTGCATTGCAC